CTAAAATTTCCCTTTAGTGGTAAAATTCCTTATAAATATTCAAAACTAAGCGGATTGAAATGTGCACAGTAAAGAAATTAAATGATTAAATCTTTTCACTACCAACCAATGCACCACGAGTGCCCCTGTCGGTCATTTTGGCCAGCCAATCACTTGCCCTGCAGTGCCCTACGGTGCCCTGCGGGTTGGTTACTGTACCGCGGGTTTTTACAGCTCATTTTGAATGGCTGCATCTGTACCTTATAGATCCATCAATAAACAAATCTCTATTCATTCTCACTTTTGTTGTGAATATCTGTCATGTCAACAGAAGATGCAGTTTTCTGCTTCTGAGACCAGGGGCCATAAAATGAATTAAGGGAAATCCAGGCCACCAGGGTTATCACTTATGTTCATTCAAACACCATGATGGAACCTTTAATGACCAGGCGTACTCAGTGTGACATCTCACCTGTTGGACAGTGTCTCCCACTGTACAGTGTCTTCTGTCGCCTTTTAGGGGAGATTGTGACTCAGAGACCTTCAGTCATAATCCAACAGAAGGCAGCTTCACACCACTGGCTCCTCAGCCAAGACCAAATACCACATGTCTGAATCTGCGGATCTTCTGCAGGATTACTGCAAATTCCTGGAAATTTGGTCCACAAATTTTGTTCCACCTGCTGGTCCACCAACACCTCTCACAGCAGCAAATTGGTTTGGATTGGAGATCTCTGATCTCAGTACTGACACTGTTTAAACTTGCTGAATTTCTGAAATCCGACAAGATCAGGCTGCATAGTGGAAGTGCTGCTGTTGGACCTTTACTGAAGTCTTCCAAGAGAAAAGAGAAAAACTACGCTGATGAACTCAAAAAAATCTCAAATTCCTAATAAATTCTCAGATGGAATGCAAGCTATCAATATCTTTTTCCTTAGTAAATAATAATCAGTTAATTTTATTATCTCATTATGTCATGGGCCCTGACTGGGCTCAGTTTACTGACTCAGTATACAGGGATGTTAAGATATGTTTTTTCCCTCTCGCCGACACAGGAACAACAACGATTTCTGGCTCCTCTGAGTTTTGGGAGGAAACTATCTGATTGTGGTTCAGATGGTTTAGAAGGGTTTCATGAACATGTCTGTCATATTCTTGGAGAACAGCACATGTGACTAAACCTTAGACCCTGTTATAAGCTCTTTCGCTAGCAAGACTCAAACCACGTGTCTTAGACATTACTGAAACACCAAGGGAAGGTATAAGACAGTTTTTTTGTTTAAGAGGTGATCACCGCACCAACCCTTAAGAGACTGTGTCCTGTGAAAACACACTAATGTGGTAATTAGTACAATGCTTAAGAACCCAAATTCAAGATAACGGTGTGTGTGATCTGAGTGTATTCAGATCAGGACTGCGTCATTTTATTAAAATAATGTAGATGAGTTTATTAGGAATAAAAATAGTACAAACAAAAAGGCTAATGGAAAGAGATGAGGAAATGGTTGGAAAGTACATATTTAGAAAAGCGAAAGTTGCAAAGATACCATCTGTAACAGCTAATAAACAGCTTAAAAATTTAATTTCTAATTTGAGGCAAAAGGCTTAAAGTTACATTAGATTTTTATCAAGATAAATATTTTATGCAATCGCTATCAAGCATTGAACCCATAATGTACGAACTATTCCTTTAGGAGGTACAGAAACTAGAGACGCTTGCTATGTTATTATCTCCTCATTTTGTTAATGGATTTGTTAGCTTGGCGAGTGCTGTGACTGTGCTTAGGAGCTGATCCCGTGTTGTTGTGGATGGGCTGCTGGCTGGAGAGGGTGGGGCAGCATATCAGAGTTTGCAGAGGTTTCTCCAGCTTTCTGGTTTGGTCCTTCTTCTCATTGGCCTACTGGCTTCCTTGTGTCTTGTCGTCCCTGGTTCTAACTTCTTGTTGTCCTGGACCAAACTTCCAAATTGTGCATCTTAGCTTGCCCTATTAATTAGCCTCAGACAAAGACATTCTGAAGTCTCAGCTGGCAGGGTTCTAGTTGGCCTATTTGAATCTGAGATTTGCACATCTCTCTCTCAGGAATTTTTATTGATTCTAATAGGAGAGACAGGATAAAATATGAAAACTGATAACTTCTTCTAAGTAATACAGATCAGTTTGATATACTGCTTGAAAAAGAAATCCACAGAATCCACAGCAACAATGACTTTTATCACCTTCTTCCTCTGGGCACTCTTCATCACTGCTCAGGGTAGGATCGGACTTGGATATTTTAACGATTTTACAATATTTTTATTTCATGTGGAAAAATAAGGAGTTAAGTTAATTTAGTTGAAGACTACAAAATAACAAAATCCAAAATTGTGAATATCTTATGAATATGTTGTTTTTTGTATGTCTATCAAATTGTGTTTTATTGATTTACAGAATACAATGGACAGATTTCTGTGACTCAGCCTCCAGTAATATCTACTGTTCCAGGACAGACATTTACTGTGAGCTGTAGGACCAGTCCTACGGTGTACAACAATAATCACCTAAACTGGTACCAAAAGAAAGCTGGAGAAACTCCTAAACTTCTGATCTATGGAGCAACTATCCATCAGACTGGGATCCCAGAACGTTTTTAGTGGCAGTGGATCTGGGACTGACTTCACTCTGACCATCACAGGAGTCCAGGCTGAAAATGCAGCAGATTATTACTTTCAGAGTTTCCACTACCCCAGCAGTAACCGTGTGTTCACACAGTGTTACACACCCGTACAAAAACCTCCCTCAGAAGGACTGCGCAGCAACTGCGCTGTTGCAGATGGGACCTACTGCAGGAGCTGAGGTTGAAGACAAAGATGCAGCCTTTGGAGGAGCTCAGCTGCACACAAACACTGATATAAGTTTAATTAATATTATGAAGCTGAGAAGAGCGTCATATTCATGAGTCAATCTGGAAGTAGTTTGTGTTGTTTTTATATTATTAACCCCAAAAATATATTATTCCTTAGGCTAAAGCATTGTGCCTCACATTGCTGGGGACCTGGGTTCAATTCCGCGGGTGCTATCTTTGTGCAGTTTGCACGTTTTCCCAGTATTTGCATAGCTTTCTTTTGGGTGCTCTGGTTTCCTTCCACATGAAGCTAGAATAATCATCTGTTGGTAAAACTGGCCCTGGTGTGAGTGTGTGAGTGTGTTTGCCCTGCGATGGACTGTTGTCCTTTCCAGGGAGTATCTGGCCTTGAGCCCCTTGTGACTCTAAGTTGAATAAGAAAGCAAGAAAATACACAGATGGATGGATAAAACATTTAGTTGGATTGATGGACTGACAGACTAGGAAAAAATTGTCAAATGTTATCAGCATCTCTTTCTTCATTTTTGCACCTAAAATGATTCAAAAGAGAAGTTTTATATTCACATGATTGTCTAAAATAATCTAATATATTAAGAAAATAAATTTCTAAGTGCCAGTGCAGTATGTCCCAGCTTCAGCACTACAGTTGCTGTGCAGTCCTGCTGAGAGAGGTTTTTGTATAGGTGTGTAACATTGTGTTAACAGTCAGTTAGTGTTGAGGTAGTGAGCACTCTGACAGTAATAATCTGCTGCATCTTCAGCTTGGACTCCTGTGATGGTCAGAGTGAAGTCAGTCCCAGATCCACTGCCACTGAAACGTTCTGGGATCCCAGTCTGACGGGTAGTTGCATCATAGATCAGGAGTTTAGGAGCTTCTCCAGCTTTCTGTTGATACCAGGCTAGACTGTGCTTAGAGTCATATACAGATGCAGCCATTCAAAGTGCATGTTACAGACACGTACTGCAGGTGGCGTCGCGCATTGTGACGCAAGATGACACCCGGCACCGCAGTACGTGATTGGTGACCGACAGGGGCACTCGTGGTCCGTTGGTCTGTCGTAGAAAGACTTACAGTAAACGTCTTTGCTGTGCCCGTTGTAGATATTGAATTTTACCAC